TATGAAAGGCTACGGCCATCTCCAACGTATGAAAGGCTACAGCCATCTCCAATGTATGAAAGGCTACGGCCATCTCCAATGTATGAAAGGCTACGGCCATCTCCAATGTATGAAAGGCTACGGCCATCTCTAACGTATGAAAGGCTACGGCCATCTCCAACGTATGAAAGGCTACGGCCATCTCCAATGTATGAAAGGCTACGGCCATCTCAACGCGTAAAAGGCCACGGCCATCTCCAACAACGTTATGGCTAAGGCNCTATGTGCCTTCGCCGTTAAATCCAACGAGCTCGACCTCGCTCGAACTACAAGGATGGACGCCTTCGTCCTCAACTTTAGCAAGTTCAACCACAGTTGAACCGAGATTCAAGCCAAACGCCTTCACCTGTGAAAGCAAAGCCCGACCTCCAACAAATCGAAGCGCAGGATAGGCACCCTCGCCATTCAAGTAAGTTCTCCCAACTCGAATTAAGATTCGGGCCACGTAAAGTTCGGCCCCGGTCAAACTACGAGGCCGTGTTTTTTACCAGCACGACCGGTAGTTCGACCGCGTCCGAACTGGGACTAAGGCTAAGCGCCGCTATCGCCAAAAAACGGCTAAGACTCGCCCGTACCGAGTTGAAAAAGCAAGGCCATCAATTATATTATGGCTAAGGCCATCGCCGCCAACGGTCGACCTAGATTCGACTACGGTGAGTAAACGACTCGACGACAGTCGAAGTCGCCTACATGGCTAAGGCCATCAACTATATTATGGCTAAGGACATCGCCGCCAACGGTCGACCTAGATTCGACTGCGGTGGGTAAACGACCCGACGACAGTCGAAGTTGCCTTTATGGCCAAGGCCGTCGATTCTATCACGACTAAAGTCGTCGATCTAAATTCAACTAGGGCCGCCAACGTGAACGGTCAACAATAAGCGCAACAAAAACTTTAAAGAACGAAAGAAAAACAGTGACACAAAACAAGCACAAGGCAGGCAATGGAAAAGAAAATTTATATATTTACAAAGTCAATTGCGGGTCATCCCCGCTTACACCCGGCCAAGGCCGATCAATACAAGAAATAAAAAAAAAACAAGAAACACCTAAACGCCAAACGGCGAACAAGACGAGAAAAAGTGCATAAACATCTTTTTACTCGATGCCGTCTGCGCCACCGTCTGCATCAGCGTCAGCCTCTGGCGTCGCCGCGTCAAAACCACAGTCGGCACGTGCCTCACGAGCCTTCTGACGCGCCCCCTCGAAAGCAGCTTCGGTCACGACGCCAGCCTCCCACAAACTCTTATATACATCACGTTGGGCCTCGGCAAAGACCCAAAGTTCTCGAGCCTGACTGGAAGAAGCGGCTTGATCCCGTAGCCGCTGATTCTCTTCTTCTAAGGCTGTGATCCGGTCCGCCATGACCTGGGCGTCCTGCTCAAAGACACCAATCTGCTCCTCGAGACTCGCTTCTCTAAAGGCCGCATCATCCCTTTCCAATGCCCGTTGGGATTCGTGCACGTGGATAGCTTCCTTCAACGCCCCGGCCTTCGACGAAGCATCCCTCACTTGAAACTTCAATGCCGCGACTTCACCCTCCAACGCGGTCACTTCCCCGCTCCATGCCGCAGCGGCCTCCGCCACCTTGGCCTTGCCCCAGCGCTCGCACTCAGCTGCGACCCTCTTTACCGCCTCGAGCTCCTCATCCTTCCGGTGGAGCTGCTCCTCGAGAGCACTCGTCCTGCCAAGTATTTGCTGCATCTGAAGCTCCCGCCTCGCCAGCTCTTCGACCACGGCCCGGCTACGAGGATCATTCTCCAAGCGCACGCGCAACTCTCGGCACTAATCTCGGTAGCGGCGATACTTCTCCAGCGCCCGCAAAAATATCCCCGAGAGGACCTTGCTCGACGGATGCTCTCCACCTCCAACAGATAAGACTGCAAAGCAAAGACAACGATTAGAATAAAAGAATAAACTTAAGGCAAAGAAGAAGCGAACCGACGTAATAGTACATACCCTCAAGCCCATCACGGCTACTTCATTCATCAGTCCGACATCCGTAACGCCCCTCAACGACGCATTCTCGGCCTCCGAGCATAGCAGCTCGAACTGCGGCACCGAGCTTTCCCCTTGGAGCAATAAGTTCAATTTCGTGGGAACCTCGATGAAGCGAGATCGCCCCCCTGCGCGCACCGCTGAATTGGTGGAGCCTTCCTGGAACATACGGACGTCGTCGGGATCCAAGTCGGATTCAGACTCATTCTCACCCCCTACAACATCTCCTCCCCCTTCAGCCGTCGGCGAGGTGGAACCTCCCGCCGCAGCCGCCGAAGGAGCGATTGCCTCACCCACATTAGCAGCCGCTGAGGAACTACCTCTCGTCTCAGCGACTGGAACTCCCAATTGAGTCGCCGAAGCGACGGTATCATCACGACCTGAGCCAACCGGGGCAACCCCCAGTGTTTGTCAACCCTCAAGGGCAGGCGCCGCAGCCGCACTCCTCTCCGCGTCCGCCGGGGGGGAGTCCAAATTAATTACCACAGGAGGAGCCGGCGCGAACACGACCCTACGCCTTATCAACGGCCTCTCCTCCTCCCCATCTGATGACGATTCCGCTCTAGGGCGCACGACCCCCGACGGCCCCTCATCCCGAAGCGCGGCCCATACCGGAGAAGGAACCGCTGAAGCTTCAACTGATGCCGCCCTCAGTATTGAGCGCGACACAGGCGCCGCAGTAAGACGAGCGACTGCACCCGGCCGACGAAAAGCCAACTGAGGGGCCCTGACACGGCGTGCCCTCCCTGATCACAGGAAAGCAAAGTTGATGAATAAAGTTGAAACAAAGCGGAACAGAAGAAGAAATCAATTTCTTACCTGCCACGGGCCTACGGCAATGCCTCTCCCAGAAAGACGCCCATGTGCGTATCCCCACCGTATGGGGGAGTACGGCCTCGACCCACTCATGTATCCAAGACAATGGGGCCGGCGGTGACCTGTCGGCTACAAAAAACGACACGAGTTAACGCTCATGATCACAAATCATAAAGAGGGGAAGAAAAGGGAATTCAACCACTAAAGACCTTACGTGCATGGTTCCAAGCCTCTGGGAACCCAGTAGCATCCGCCACCAGATGCTTGGTCCTGATATAAAAGAAGTGCTCGAAAGGGCGAGGGTCGACCTCGTCATCCAATCTCATGACCAGGCCCCTCGACCCACGAGGGCACGCCTGAATCATGGTGCCACGGA